CATGTCCCATCCTGGGACAGCAAAGGACAGATAGAGCAAACAAGTTTATACGGGAAAAGGTAATAATAATAATAATAATAATTAACATCATATTCTGTTTCTGCTCTATACAGTATAGCTCATTAAGAAATAAGTGGGCCAGGGGGTTGTGTGGTAGTTAAGGTGCTGGACTCCCACCTGGCTGACCATGGTTTGAGTCCTGGACCTGGGGGCTTGAAAATCATGCCAGGTGCATGTGCAAGCATGCCCAAGATGTCAGAAAGAGAATGGAGGATAAAGGATTGTGGCATGGCCAACCCCCCATGGGGTGATTTCTCACTTTCCCTCTCACTGTCTGTCTCCAGAAGTGCCTCACCCTATGGCAAAAACTTAAAAAAAGAAGAAAAGTGATATATTCCAGTATAATAAATTACCCTGAAATTTAACAGCTTAAAAATTATTTTACAATGCATGTGTTAGGAATTCAGGGTTTAGCTTGGTGGTTCTGGCTCATGAGGTGGTCTCTTCATGAGGTCGTCATCAAGATGTTGGCTAAATTATTTACAGTAACCATGATACAGAAGCTGCCTAACTACATATCAACTAACAAACAGATGAAGAGAACGTGATATATACACACGACGGAATGCCACGCAGCCATTAAAAAGAGGAAATCTGGTCATCTGAGGCTAGGGTGAATGGGGGACATTCTGTTAAATGAAATAAGCCAGCACAGGAAGTGAAAATACCATGTTTTCCTTTCCATGTGGAATGGGGGGGGAGGGGAAGACCTCATAGAAGTACAGAGATGTAGAGAGACTACTGAATGTTGATCAACAGAAACAAAATTGCAAATAGAAGAGGCAATGTCAAGTATTAAAATACAGTGGGGGGGCGCAGCCGCGCGCCTGGACGGCCTGGCCCCCCTCCGGGGGCCCCACGGCTGGGGGCTTCTGCCCCTGCGCAGCCGCGGGCAGGGAATGGCCTGGCCCTCCTCCAGGGGCCCCCGCGGCCGGGGGGCTTCCGCCCCTGCGCAGCCGTGTGCCTGAACAGCCGGCCTCCCTGGCCTCTCCAGCGCTGGATGGCCCAGAGGCGAAAACAAGGTTGAAGAACTTGCAACTTGAGA